CTTTGAATTGAATACAACAAGGAAAAGTGGAAATTTATAGCCAAGGAGCAGGGTGGGGGTCAGTGGATGGAGGCTTACTAAGAGGAGACATCAGGGAGAAGGACACATTCTGGCTAAGCCCTTCTAACAGGATCCTTGCTGAAGGCAGGCCAGAGTGATCAGACATCATCTGGAGAATGGTGGAGGATGAGGAACCTGATCAGATATTGAGGGTGATCAAATATCAAGGATGGGAGATTCTTGATAAACCAATTTAGCAGAATTCTTGCTAGAGCTGGACAATGTAGAGATGAACACAGAAGCTCCAAATTTAGGGCCCAGTTGAGAAGAGAGTTCAGGGGAGCCTAACTAAAGTTAGGTTAAAGAGAGAATCTTTGTCAACCAGTATATAGATAAGGTCATGAGAATGTTAATAGAGCCAGTTCAAATTTTTTATTAACTGTCATAATAATAGCAGGTCATCCATAAGGGAGGGTGAGAAAGGGATTCTGCTTGCTAGAGAACTCATATTTGAGGTACTTAGTAAATATTTATAACACAAGTAATATTCTGAATTATTTTGCTTTTGTCATGATTTTTATTTTTGGTTTGGAAGGTAAATGTAGGACAGTCACATTCTATAAAATATGGGGGGTCAAATAGATATACATGAAAAATAGTAATGAAGTGAGGGTCAGGATTTGGAGCCCTTAAGTTTCTCGCCTTTAACTTTAGGTTATCTGTTAATTTTTCCTGAACTTTTGGAAGTTTATTGACTTTACCCCTAAAAGGAAGGCAGCTATGCTATTATAGAATTGTTTTTCAGTGACTAGTCCTCTAAGCAGAAACTAAGTCTAAAGCTATTAAAATTTCCCAGATTCTCAATGCTAACAATAAGGTTTGGTTTTTGATGGAGGTTATATAGGTATATCTTACAAACTCTTCTGAAGTTTTGACTTTTTTATAGGTTATTATCAGGGTGCAGACATGCTAGGCATATTTTTGTCCAAAGTATCTCTTGCCAGAGAAATATGAAATGAAGGCCTTCTCAAATGTATGTATTTTTTTCTATTTCGTAGGGTTAAAAATGGGTAAGGACTGTAACACCAAAAATATTTAGGGAGTCCATTAATTGTCCTTCTGTTTGGGCTTCAAATGAGAAGGCTAATTAAGAGGTTGGATCTCAGGGGTGCCTGGGTAGCTCAGTCGGTTAAGCATCCGACTCTTGATTTTGGCTCAGGTCGTAAGATCAAGCCGTGTGTCAGGCTCCACGCCCAGCGTGGAGCCTGCTTAAGATTCTCTCTGTCCCGGGGCGCCTGGGTGGTTCAGATGGTTAAGCGTCTGCCTTCAGCTCAGGTCATGATCCCGGGGTCCTGGGATCGAGCCCTGCATCGGCTCCCTGCTCAGCGGGAAGCCTGCTTCTCCCTCTCCCACTCCCCCTGCTTGTGTTCCCTCTCTCGCTGTGTCTCTCTCTGTCAAATAAATAAGTAAAATCTTTAAAACAAACAAACAAAAAAAAAGATTCTCTCTGTCCCTTTCCTTCTGCCCCTCCCCGCCTCTCTAAAAAAAAAAAAAAAAAAAAAAAGTTGAATCTCAGAGACCATTAAGAATAAAAAACTTGAATTTTATGACCTTATGTATGAAGACTAAGTTAAGCTAAGCTTCACATCAAGGCAAAGAGGTTTATTTAGCAATTTAAGTGTTTGCCTGAAGTAAACTTCAAAAGTAAACATAAAGGGCGCCTGGGTGGCTCAGTTGGTTAAGCCACTGCCTTCAGCTCAGGTCATGATCCTGGAGTCCCGGGATCGAGTCCCACATCGGGCTCCCTGCTCAGCGGGAGTCTGCTTCTCCCTCTGACCCAACCCCCTCTCATGCTCTCTCTCTCTCTCTCTCTCTCTCTCTCTCATTCTCTCTCTCAAATAAATAAATAAAATCTTTAAAAAAAAAAAGTAAACATAAAGATAAATCATGAATTTATGCATTTTAATTCTTATATACACTCAACACATTCATTCCACTATTTCATGATTTTTTTTAAATGTAGACCAGAACCACACCTTATTCTTAATATTCTCATCAGCTAAAACCAGACATGGCATGGCACAGAGACATTCACTAAATGTTTGTTAAGTGAATTAGATAACTTTTTAGTTTTTAATATATGTCATTTGATATGCAGTATATCTAATCAATGTGGGCAAAGTATTTTGAGGGTAACTATATTTTTCAAATAACTCTGTTCTTTCACCAAATAGCTGTATTTAAGTGAGAACATAACACAACGCTCTAAACCTTTGTGAAGAGACTTAACACCATCCTTCATCTTTCTGATCCTTGGGTATGTTATTGGTCAAGAAGATAAACTTAGTTATTGAGGGGGAAAAAGACTTTGAGACTAGATTGATGTATTTTATTTTCTTGTTTCCTTTTTTACTTTTTGGAGTTAGCTCTCTGCTGGCACCTCTGGATAAGAATGCAATTAAGAGAGTAATGTCTCTGGGAAGTTAATATGTTGTTCTGGGACTTTCTTGATGTACCTACATGACAGAAGTATAATGGTAACCCAATGAGAAATCAGAACTACCACTAGCATTGATGCAATTACATATGGACAGTTGAATCTGCCTCTGAAGGCTTCAGCAGCAGAGAGAAAGAAGAACAAAAAGATTTTGTAGCCAATTAAAGCGGTCAGCTAGCCACAGAAGAATCATAGTAAATTTAAAAATAATTTACAAGGAACACAGTAAATGATCAATAAATGTTAGCTTTTTAAAAAATGGTATCTTCCAAACAACAAAATATTAGTTATCCCAAGAGCAAATACCTTAAGTCCCAAATAATATTCAGTACCTATCCATTCAGTCTTTATGATGTAGATACACCATTCCTTTCAAAATGAGTTCCTAGAATGTGTTACAACCAACTAACCTATACTTAGAGTAAATGTCTGACACGGAAACAGTAGAATGGGAAGAGAAAAGCAGGCTGTATAATGGACTGGTTTGGAGTCTTTCACTCTGCACATTCCATCCTCATATTGAAGAGTCAAATGGTCTAAGAAAGTGTGTTCAGCTATCATAGATAAATGGGTTGCAGAAACAGAATACTGTGGAATTTTCAGTTACAGTCTACATCGAACAATACAGGAGCAACTCATCTGTCTTCCAAAAGACCTTTACCCATCTAATCTCACTTAAGTGGAAAGGAGGTTAAAATAAACACCTCAGAGGATCACTGTCCTCTGTCACCATACATCATCAAACCTGTGAAGTCAGTTTGAGAACCTAGTACATAAGCAAATAAATCCTTGCAAGAAGAAACAAAGCTATCAGTACATCAACCAAAAAGTCTCTTCATCCCTTTTTACAATTTAAATTCTTTTCCTTAACAATTTGGTAAATATAGGATTGGGGGAATATTGCCATTTGGCATCATATTTGATACAAACAAGTTGTCTTGACAAGTTCATTTTTTAACTTCTTTTTGCCAAAAAAGGTGTATAACTATTGTTCTGTATAGCTATAGAGCTAATGTGGCCTGACCACATTTCTCATAGTTTTTGGTAGGACTTCTTGCCAATGTACCAAGGTTGTATGTGGACAGAAGACATAACTTATGGATCCTGTAAGGCATCCTCATTCTACTCTGCAAGTGTCCCTCTTCCCTCTTGAGATTAGGCAGGGGCAGTTCTACCTTGTGGGAAATGCAGTTTCTTTTCTAAGTGGCCTGTCCAAGTCAGATAGAGAGGAAAAGGAAGAGATAAAGGCATTTCCCACATGATGGACGTGGTTAAATGTGTCCCAGAGAGGCCAAAGTGATTTTTTTTTTAGTGGGTAGATTTGGGAACTTTGCTATTTGGGCTGTTTCCTATGCTTTCACATAGTAAACTCAGTGGGTTTTGTTTTGTTTTTTTAAAGCAATTCTCTTTGTCATGGAAAGAAAGGATAGACATCGGGGTTATTACATGGAATAAATCTTTGTCCTGGAAAAAAATGTCAAGTTCCATCATATTTTAACTTTTCAACTTGGACTTTGAAAAATTCTAGAGTGCAAAAGACTCTTATGTTTTTTAATCAGCACTTCAACATGAAATGCATTTAAATCAGCTTGAAATTTATCTTTGATTAAGAACAAGGACCTAAAACAAATTTTTTCATCTCAAGTTATATAGTGATGAGGTAGTATCTTTCTAAATTCCATTTACTTAGAAGAAATTTGACTTCTCCACTACTACCATTTATCACATTGTCCCCTTCCTCTGTGGTCATACTTTTTTATGCCAGTTTGCCCATTCAAACATTCGTTACCTAAGATACCAGCTTTTTCAGCCTTGCAGCCCAGGTGTGATAACAACTATAGACACACACACACATACAGAATGGGAATAAGTGGAAATCCCAAAAGTGAACCCCCCCAAAGTTGTTATCAATGTGTATGTGAAAGAAGACAAGGCCAATCTTAAAAAAAAAAAAAAAAAAAAAAAAATGTAAAGTGAAACAGGGCTGCATTGCTTGAAGGCCTCAGGGATGTGGTGTGTGGTAATAGAACCATGACTAGGCAGTTTAGTTACTAAAGTGCAAAGTGTACATTCATTTAAAGGAATACTGCTTTTAAATTGCTTTTAAGATTATGCTTTAGAATTCTTTATAAAATTTTCTGCAGTGAGTATGCATTTGTGATCAGAAATAACATACAATTCTTTTTGAGAGATTGATGATGTTTGTGAAAAGTTATCCAACTTCCTCGCTCTCCAAATCCTCTGCTTTATTGAAACAATCCCTTCCTGGGCGCCTGGGTGGCTCAGTCAGTTAAGCATCTGCCTTTGGCTCAGGTCATGGTCCCAGAGTCCTGGGATTGAGTCCCTCATCAGGTTCCCTGCTCTGCAGGAAGCCTGCTTCTCCCTCTGCCTCTCTCCCTTTCTCCCTCTCTGTCTTGCTCATGAATAAATAAATAAAATCTTAAAAAAAAAAAAGAAAGAAAGAAAGAAACAGTTCCTTCCTTCTGTGATTGGCAGTGTCGATATGTCTGTCATAGGTAGGAAAGGCCAGCACAGAACTGGTACCATGAGCCTGCTGCTAGGGGTCTCTTACAGAGTCCAAGAACCTTCCACACCAGCACCTAAGTGTTGAACCTTTATCCTTAAAGAATTGTGTATGTGAGTTTAAAAAATAAAATAATGCTAAGTTGATTTACTTTCTCTGGTTTGTATTTGAATTTCTATAATGTGTGATACTCGATAGGCCTAAACTGTGAACTCTGTTCTTTTTAATAAGCTAAAGATTATTTTAGCGACTAAGCTCTCAATTATTTCATGGAAATAACATCAGAAACAGAGGAAATGTGATTTATTTATAAAGCAACCACTAAAAACCATGTTTTCCAGGAATACGTGATGTTTGAATAGTACTCATAACATTAAATGGATAAGCAATATGTATCAAGGGAAATATGAAGTGTGATACTATTAAAAGCTGATTTATAAAAGTTTATAAAAAGACTTAAAAGAAAATCAGTGTTGCAAATGGTAGTCTTGTTGGAACACTTATGCCTATTTTATTATTTCTTTTACACTTTTTCCCCATATTTTTCAGAGTAAAATATATTGATTTCATAATAAAAAATATAAAACTGTGTTCATTTAAAAACTGTGAAAGAGAAACGAAGGAAAGCAGCAGGAGCAGGCCTCTGAGGAGGCCAGGGAGAAATCGGTGTCACTTTTGAAAGTAATACCAGTCCTTGTTTCTGAAAATGAAGATTATTGAGCTCCTTATTCATGAGGTGGGTCAGAGGTGTCCTGTGCATGGAAAATGCCAGCCCAGTGACATGCAACAGGTGCAGACCTCTGCCTTGTAAGCCCTGGGAACATTTTGAGAATTGCCAGCATTTTGGTGGGGCTTTGCAGCTCTCACAGCTGCTGTGGATCAAGCAGATGCTGCTCTAACATTCCAGCATATTCTGAGATGTGAGATCGGACCCAGCTCTTCCTCAGCACACCAGGCTTTGACCAACTACCAAGTACCTGACCAGAGAATTGTCATGAGGGCTGTCAGATGAAATTCTGGGGCAGAAGCCATCTGTCATTTAACATGCTTCCAAAGGGAGTCAAGGGATAGTTATTCACCCAGGGTAAAGGAAATAGCAAAAAAAAAAAAAAAATTCTTTTTTTTTTAATGCAGGACTGTTTCTCAAGAAAAACATCAAACCAGTGTTACAACTGAGAGAATTTCAGAGTCCTTGGCTGTGAGTCAGGTGTTTGGTGTTATGTAAGGATTTATCAATCACTGTTTAAAAAGAATATCGGATAGCTCTGTGAAATGAATGAGGGGAGCTTAAGCCAGGACGAGGCAGATTTAGTAATGAGTTCACTCATCACATCTCATGGCCAAGAAAAACATACACCTTCTCCAGAGACAGAATTTTTCTTCCATTCCAGGAGGTGAAGGAACACATGAAGTATATGTTGTCCAGGCTTTCAGTGAGCAAATTTCACTAGCAGTTTTTTATAACCACTCATAAATAAATGGGAAGAGAAATTGTGAGGTAACTGGAGTCTTTCTGTATCAGGAATGTCATCTCTGTAAAAACAAGTTAGTCCTGTGTTTAATCCCCTGCCTAAATACGGAACTCTCAGTTTCATGTTGATAGACTAAGCCAACATTCCCTACCTGTCTCCCAGAAATGGATGGGTGTGACAAGTGTAAATGTGCAAGTGTGTGGAACTGTATCTTTTTATAATCCTGAAGATTTCAGTGGTGCTTAGAGGAGCTTTAATCTTTGGTCAGTTTTCTTTGAGTTGGGAGGCATGAAGATACTTGAACTTCTTGTTTCAGAATGACCTTGACTTTCCTCAATTTTTTCACTTCAGATCATCCAGCCCCTCTTAGAACTTGACCAAAATAGAAGCAAATTAAAGTTGTATATTGGACACCTGACAGCCCTCTGCCATGACCGAGACCCCCTGATCCTTCGTGGACTCACTCCACCAGCTTCCTATAACTTGGACGATGACCAGGCAGCTTGGGAGAATGAGCTGCAGAAGATGACCCAGGAACAGGTAAGTCTCTCACTTGAACTTTGACAAGACCCTGATAAAATTCAGCTGCTCCTTAGGTTAGGGCAATAGGAGCTCCCTTGGGATGTTCAGTGTTCAGATTCAAGATTCTTAGCAACGGGCAGTTCCTCAATAGATAATAGGAATTACCATTTGCAAGAAGTACCCTTTATTCTTCCCTCAGTGTAACTTGCTCAAGTATCAGAAAGGGCTGCTTAGAAAGGAGAGGGTTGGGGTGCCTGGGTGCCTCAGTCACTTAAGCGTCCAACTCTTGGTTTCTGCTCCGGTCATGATCTCAGGGTCTTGAGATCGAACGCCTAGTTGGGCTCCAAGCTCAGTGCAGAGTCTGCTTGAGACTCTCTCTCTCCCTCTTGCTCTGCCCCTCCCCCACTCATGCTCGCTCTCTCTCTCTCTCTCTCTCTCTCAAATAAATAAATCTTCGAGAGAAAAAACGGAGAGGCTTATCTGCTAACATGCCATACTTTATTTCATACAAGTGATGACCACTAATAATTATAGCCACTGAAGGAAAATCTGAGTTAAGGATACTTGGATAATGGATTTTTTTTCTTTTAAGATTTTTTATTTATTCATTTGAGAGAGAGAGAGAGAGCTAGAGCACAAGCAGGGAGGAGGGTCAGAGGGAGAGGGAGAAGCAGACTCCCCACTGAGCAGGGAGCCGGTTGCGGGGCTCGATCCCAGGACTCTGGGATCATGACCTGTGCCGAAGGCGGTTGCTTAACCCACTGAGCCACCCAGGTGCCCCTGGATAAAGGATTCTTGACAAGTCAGTAGCAAGTATCTACAGTTGTCTTTAGGCAGTAGTGGGTTACAACTATTTTTTAAGTGAAAGAAGTATTAGATGAATTAGTTTAGGTGCTCCCCATGATAACATTTTCGGCCTATAAAAATCCAATGATTCTCTTTTGTTCATATTGTGAATATTGTGATTTTTTTTTTTTTTTTTTTTAGTTCAATAAAGAAAGGCTAGTCTGGAGACAAAAACTGGGGATAAAAGAAAGAGAGAGGGGCCGCCTGGGTGGCTCAGTCAGTTGAGTGTCCAACTCTTGATTTCGGCTGAGGTCATGATCTCAGGGTCCTGGGATCGAGCCCTGAGTTGGGCTCCCTGCTCAGCGGGGTATCTGCTTTTCTCTCTCCCGTTGTCCCTCTTCCCCCCACTCATGCTTGCGAGCGTGCTCTCTCTCTCAAATAAATAAAATCTTTAAAAAAAAAAAAAAAGGAAAGAAAGAAAGATAAAAATGGATGAGGCTAGCTATAAAGAGCAGACATGGAGAGTGAAGGGAAGAAAGACTGAATAAACACAGAAAAAGAGAAATAGAACAGTTTCTAAAACATTAACTCCTAAGCCCCTTTAGTTCCTCGTTTACAGAGGGGTTGATGATATCCCTAACTAGGCCACGATTGTACCAACTGAGAGACTTAATTGCATTCGTGCTGTAAATTTACTAAAATTCTCTGGAATTTTGGAGCCATATGCTATTTTCCAGCTAAATCCTTGCTATTTAACACTGTTTACTCATAATGTGTGAAGGAAAATTGTGTTAAATACAGACACTTCCATGGTATGACAGCAATGTCAACCCACAGATCAAGAAACGCAGGCTGGAGTCTTAGAGCTGTGCTTACTTCTCCATGGTATGGATATTGCCTTAGTAGACACAATTCAACAGCCTAATTACTTATCTACTTTACTTATTTGATGAGTAAAGATAAAGCCTACCTCTCAAATTCAGCATGTTGCCATAGAAATTTTAAATTCTCTCTTCTTGAAAGAGGGAGGAAGAATGTAAAGGACAGAATGAAATAGGATTCCTAATAGCTAAAGGACATTAGTAACCATGTAGTGAAAATGCAACTGAAAGCCCACTGGAAGCGGAATGCATGCCTAGTTACTTTCAAAAACTTTTACTTCAAAATTTTACAGAAGAACAGTGCTTCTTAGGGCGCCTGGGTGCTCAGTCGGTTAAGCGTCTGCTTTCAGCTCAGATCATAATCCCCCAGGGTCCTGGGATCGAGTCCCGCATCGGGGCTCCCAGCTCAGCGGGGAACTTGCTTCTCCCTCTGCCTGCCGCTCCCCCTGCTTGTGCGCTCTCTCTCTCTCTGTCAAATAAATAAATAAAATCTTTAAAAAAGAAAAAAGAACAGTGCTTCTTAAAGCACTGACATAGTGATATATCAAAATTGAACTGGCATTAAATTATTTCTTTGTATAACAGATTGTCTTTGAAATGAAAAAAGTATTTCTGCTTAGTTCTGTTTTCAAATATGCTTGAATCGACTTAACTCAGATTTTCTTTTTTTTTTTTTTTGACTTAACTCAGATTTTCTAAGGGAAAAAAAATATTTCCAGAGTGAGACCAAAATAGGAAATTTCAAACTAAGAATTTTTCAGAAAGTTTTAAATAAATGAAACCAAGAATTCATTAATCGGCTTGCCATTATATATTATGTTACAATCAAGCTACCAGTAATCATCAAAAGAGTTTTGCTCACATACATGAATTGTGTTAATATGTTTCTTCTTGACTGAGAATGTTCTTCAGTCACTGAAGTTATTGCTTGAGGTGTGTGAAGTTGTGTCTTTAGCAGGCTTCCCTGGGAACCCTGAGAAACAGGGGACTTAGGTCATCTGTAAAGGAATACAGCGACTAACACCACCTTCTGCCGCTAAAGGTTGGTGGAGAAACCAACCAATTTTCTGCCAGCTCACCACAAGTAAGAATTTAACGGGACAGTGCAGGCTATTGAGAAACTTGACCCCTAGTACTATAAAATGATTGGTCCATGATCAAGGTTTACTTTAGTTTTTGAAGCCCAAGAAACATTAAGACCTGAATCATTGCCAAATATGCACATTGGTTTATTTTGTGTGTGTGTGGTGTGTTGTGTTTACATTTTTGTTTTGGGGGATGTAGAGCCCTCTGCAGCTGACATTTGTGTTATCCAACTGTGTGTGTCCTGTGCCTTTCACTGCCACCATGCCACCCCCCCCCAATAACACCCTCATGAGGACAGGACAGGAGCCTTGTCTATCCCAAGAATAATGCCTAGCATATAGTATCTGCTTAATAAATATTTGTTGAATGAATAAGAGACAGAAGAAGACAGACTGGATAAATTCCATACTCCTTATCACATCCTACAAGGCTTTCTTTCATTGGCCTGTTTATTAAATGCGCATCTCTTCTCATCCTAGCCTTGAAGCATACCCAACCACTTAGTTTTAAACTACTTGAAGTTTTGGGGTTTTTTTAAACTTTTTATTTATTTATTCATGAGAGACAGAGAGAGAGAGGCAGAGGGAGAAGCAGGCTCCCAAGGAGCAGGGAGCCCGATGCGGGACTCGATCCCAGGACCCTGGGATCATGACCCGAGCCGAAGGCAGACACTTAACCATCTGAGCCACCCAGACGCCCTAAACTACTTGAAGTTTTTATACTTCTGACCTTTTGCTCATATTGATCCTTCTGCCTAATATGCCCTTCCCTACCTTGTCTCCTGGGCAATACCTAAATAGGAATCTGAGTTTTTAAGCTCAGCTCAGACATCATTTCTTCTATGTATCCATTCCTGAAACCCTAGGCAGAATGTGTCACTCCCTCTTTAAGGTTTCTGTAGTACCTACAACACGTATACTTACTTGTTTTCTTATCTGTCTTCCCATTCTAGCCTTTCTGTCTGTTAAAGACATGAACTATGTAATTTTCATCTTAAAATTAGCACCACATCAACAAGTACCACTTGCTCAGTAACTTAAATGAGTAAGTGAATTCTCATGAGTTCTGCATAGCTTATTAGTTTGTATTTCATATTTGAGATTCTTATTTCTCCAACTAGGAAAGTTTCTTCACTGCCAGAACCATGTCTTATATTTCTAAAGTGCCTAGCACAGTATTATGTGCATAGAGAATGTTTAATATATATTTAGCTGATTATTTATCTATTGGGCAACCCAAGACAGTTTCCTCAGTGCCATTCAGTAGCTTTGGATAAGCTTACTATTGATGTCAGGAACCATTCAGACTCATCCTGAGTTGTAACACTATTATCTGCAAGTGCCCAGCCTATAGAAACATAACCTTATATCTGAAGATTTACCAGAATTGTTTTATTTCCATTGCCATTTTTGGAAGCTGGCTACCATACCAACTAAACTTACAGATTTGCTTATTTTTCTTACTTACTGGTTTTTGTTTTATGTATCCTGAAGCTCTGTTATTGAGTGCATACACATTAATGATTATTATGTCTTCTTGATGAATTGATTCTTTTATTATTCTGTGACAGCAACATAACCATTCCAGCTTTCTTTAGGTTAGTGTGTGAATGGTATATCTTTTTCCATATATTTGCTTTTAAGCTATCTGGGTCTTTATATATAAAAAGAGTTTCTTGAAGATAGCATATATTCCACCAGCACCGGGCTCAGGTCTAGGAGACAAGGTTATCTCTTCCTCCTTGGTTCCAGAGGGCAGGGCTACCTCCTAAGTTTCAACAGACCAGGCTATCACCCAGGGCCAGAGGGATGGAGTTGCCTGGGGGACAGAGCATCCAGCCAAAGAGGATTATTCTTGAGCCTTAAAATCTAATAGAGTTTACCCTGCAAAGTTTTGAACTTGGGTTGGGACCCATGACCCCTTCTGGAATAGGAATGTCTAACCTATATGTCTGTTCTACCATTGTATTTTAGAAGCAGATAATTTATCTGGTTTCAACAGGTTCACATCTAGAGAGGAATTTTTGCCTCAGAATGAATCATGCCTTGAGTCTTATCCACATTTGATTTAGATGAGATTCGGGATTTAGAATTGAGGCTGAAATGAGTTAAGACTTTTGGGCTGTTGGGAGGAGGGTTAATGTGTTTTGCATGTGAGAAGCACATGAATTTGGGGGGGTATGGAGATGAGGTATTATGAGCTGAATTATGTCCCCCCAAATTTGTATATTGAAGCCCTAACTCCCAGAATGTGACTACATTTGGA